AGCCACCAAGCCAGGCCACTCCCACCAGCAGGGCACAGAGATGCCTGGTCATGATAACTGGGTAGTGCAGGGGCTTGCAGATGGCCATGTAACGATCATAGGCCATCACCGTGAGCAGAATGATCTCAGTACCTCCAAAAAAATGGGCTCCAAAGAGCTGAGCCATGCAACCCTCATAAGAGATGGTTCTTCCCTCATACAAGGAGTCAGCGATGAGTTTAGGGGCCATTGAAGAAGAATAGCAGGTGTCTATAAAGGACAGGTTGGCCAAGAAAAAATACATGGGGGAATTCAGGGTGGGGCTGGAGGTGATATGACCACAATGAGCATGTTGCCACAAACTGTGACCACATAAGTGACCAAGAAGACCACAAAAAGAACTCTCTGTATTCTGTGACAGTCCCAGCAAGAAAAATTCTGTGATATTGTTTGATATTTCCATAGTCCAAGGACACAGAGAATGCAGGTACAGTATTGCCTATAAATGAACAGAGAAACATAATCATAGCATTGCTAATTCCAGAAGGAAATATTGCAAGGTTTCTTTTATCTACACCTACTTCCCTTTGCCCCTTTTAACACTTTCTGTTTCAAAATTCTTATACCAATTTAGTATGGTAATTACAAAATGTCTGCATATGTCTATCTGCTAACTTCAGCATCAGTGGGCACTAAATATCTGAGTTATTACATGACAATAATAATGTTACTAGCCATATTTTAGTTTCTTTTGTTACTACTGAAATTGAACTTTTGGCAGATACTGGTTTTCCAATTCAATGAGAGTCCCTCTCTGACCATTTTCAGCAAGTCTCCACCTAGACACAATGGCACTTGAGAAAACCATGACCACTCCAAATCTCCTGAAACTTCTGCACGAACAGTCCACATATTAAATCTTTCTTCTTGGACTGTGCAGTGAGGTTTGCTACACTTTCTGTTGCAGGTATTTCCAATAGTAACACAAAGTGAAGTAAAACCAACTAAAGCAAGGATTGGGAGAAACTGATGAGGTTACAGCTGGAGACTTACCCAACTTCTCCATTTCTCTCCTTGCTCCTTTACTCCCACTCCATGCACAGACTGTGGACAAGCTCATGTATAGGAAGCCAACTTAAATTACTCCTCCCCCTTGCTTTATATATTCTATAGACTCTGCATTTTGCTTTTTGCTTTTTTGGCTTGGTAAAATTCTTCTGGTTAAAGCTACTAGTCCTTTTGTAGTTTACAGGAAAGAGTCAAAGGTTACAAAAATAAAAAAAGTTTGGTGAGCATCAGTGAAGGGTTCTATTAAATGATTACCTGTGCATTCTCTACATAAATGAAGCTTGGGGGCAGGGAGAAGAGATGGCCTGTCTTACTCAGTTGCAAATTACAATCTCATCCAGCAGAATATTCCTACTCACCCTTTACTCTCCTAACAATATGAAGGAAGGAAATGCTTGTGCCTGCCTTAGTTTTGAGAGACACATAATGTATCATTCTCCTAAAACCACAGGCCTTCTTAAGGTAACTACATCTCTCAACTTGATGAAGATCTGATGCTCAGTTTGATGGGAATTAAAGGAAAATCATTAAGTGTCAGAGGAAGAAAGACACGCCCGGATATAAGCAACACTGGAGAGAAGAGTTCTGTGTTGATCAGGAAGTGCCTCCTTTTTCTCTCTCCAAGCTTTGTTGCCAGAAGGCAAATACAGCTTCTACAAGTGACAAGCTTGAAGGGGACCTTTTCAGAGTAGAACTTTATGGCCAAGAGCACAGATAACAGTAACAAGAGCCAACGCCTGTGTAGCACTTAGTCTTTGCCAAGCACTGTCCTAACTGCCCTACATAGATCAGTTCATATAATCCTCACTTCATGCCCAGGAGATAAGTCACTGTCTTTATCCTTATATTGAAGAAGAAAGTCGGGCACACATTCAGCAACTTACAGACGCATATTCAGCTAATAAGTGACAGAGCTAGCAGGCACTCTAGCCAAGGAGTCCATGGGCTTTGCTGTACTATACTGTCACTTACCAGTAAGCTCATCTGGGTTTGACTCCTTCCTCTGCCACTTATTGACTGTCTGTATAAACTGGGAATACTGCTCTACCCTGAGGTTGCAGAGAAAAGTAAATGAAAATAGTGCATGTTGAGTGTTTGTCTGAGCCTGGATGTGACAAACATTTTTTAAAATATATTTTATTGATTTTTTACAGAGAGGAAGGGAGAGAGATAGAGAGTTAGAAACATCGATGAGAGAGAGACATCGATCAGCTGCTTCCTTCACACCCCCTATTGGGGATGTGCCCGCAACCAAGGTACATGCCCTTGACTGGAATCGAACCTGGGACCCTTCAGTCCACAGGTCGATGCTCTATCCACTGAGCCAAACCGGTCAGGGTGTGACAAACATTTAATAAAGGGTACATCTGATATCACTATCATCAACACTATTGGCATGTGGCTTAGGAAACAAGGGCCTAAATGCATGTACTCGAGACCAAACAGGTATTGATATGGGTACAATTTTATTATACTAGGAAATGTGAAAAAATCCCTAATCCTGATCTCCATACAGAATACAAGAGTAGAAAAATAGAATCAATATGAATAGTAGACAGTTTAGTTACATAATAAATTTATATGCCCCAAAATAAAAATGTTCAGCTGGTTCATTGCTGTAATTCAAATTTATGAAAGTACAAAATAAATTATTTGTTAAAAACTAGCAAAGAATAAAAGGCTCCTGTTTGAGTTATCCAGGAGAAGCAAAATTATTTCATGGAAAATAACGCGAATTTTAGCAAAATTATTCCACCACATTTTTATTTGAGTTGCATTTTATTTTATTTTAAAAATAGATTATAGAAAACATACATTGACTGGATCTGAGGACATCAACAGGTCACCAGGATTGGTTTGATTTATACCCTAACATCATGGAATGGTGAGGCTCGCCATCTAGGCCAGCTCCAAGCACAGCACCCCGAATATTTCTGTTCCACATGACTAAGCTCCTGAATGAAATTTGAACTGTGTTTTAAATTGAGACAAAGCATAGATGAGGCAATTGCTATCAATTACAGAAATTCATCTGAACTGAAACTTTCTTAGAACAGCAGTAGGTGAAACCCAAAAGGTTGTCATTCACTTACGAGCAGCTAGGAATTCGTTTTGTGGTCCATTTCCCTCTTACTTGCTGAAGAACCAACCCTATGACATTTAAAATCCTCGTTTCTGATTGTCTCCATTTTAAAGACAGTGGATTGCAGACCCAGAGTTTAGGTGCAGCTGGTCCAAGGTCACATGGGTGATTCGTGACAGAGGCACACCTTGCTCCCAGGTCACTCAAGTGCCCTTTCCAATATAACCACCCCCTTCCGTTCTCTACGTTGTCTTTGAAACGTCAAATAAAGCCCTGCTGCTAACATGAGGGAGAAAGTTCCCAGGAGTAGCAGCTTCTTAGCTCTGCTTTCTGCTAATATTCATCAGCAGCATGCGAGAGAAATCTTTCTCCTGTGTGCTTTCCGCCTCTCTGAGGGAGACTCATTCTCCCCTCCCAGGACCATTGCGGAAGCAGCATTAGAACTAGCTTTTGCCTTGTTCACAGGTCCAAACCATGTTGATGCCATCATTTAATTATTCCCCTCAAATACAGTTTGTTCTCACAAGGAGTGGCCTCGACATTCTGCCTCCTAGAAGTGCCCTTTGTCCTTCTAGTGTCTACACGATAGTCCCCAAATTGTCAGGAGGAAAAGGGAATTATGATATTTCAGAAACTGGTATTAAGGGTTATCTTTAGGAAAATTGCTAATTGGACAAAAGTAAAAATCAACAGCATTTATTGAGCATCTTCTATGTTCTAAGCATGGGTACTAGCCCTTTTCATGTACATCATCTCTTTCATCTCCCCCCATAAGGAGGTGAGAAAAGTATCACTCCCCTTTATCCAGATTGCTACTCTGTGGTGTGCTGAAAGACCAGAGAAAGGACGGCCAGAAGGACCTAAGTGAAATTGCACTTCCACCATTTCAACCATTCAATAAGTACTTTTTCAGGCATTTTGTTAAATGCCAGGAATATCAGAGTGAATAAAATGGACATGGTCCTGGCAGCTTATACTCCAAAAGGGGAGAGCTCCCCCCAAACCAAAGCAGGGCATAAGCAAAATAATTATAAAAGCAAAAACATGGAATGTATTAATATATAAATATATTTTCAATCTTGAAGATATTGATACATATGTTTAATAATTATTGATATGTGCAGCCCATTTTTCTCCATAAAATTTGTAACCATTTACATTTTCAGTATTCTTGCCTATTCAGCATGTAATTCCCAATACTGAATGAATCCTACTCTAAGCCTTCTCCAAACGTGTTCCTTGAAAGCTTCCAGAAAAAAATCACAAAATAGGATTTTGTCTGCACCAATTTGTCACCAACTTCAAAAAGCCCATCAACCCTATTACATCAACACATTTTTCCACTTCTCCTCAAGGACCATTTAAAAGTTTCTTCAAAATTCTGTTCCCAACCACAAGTCTCTACTCTTCACTTGTTTTTTAACTTTATTTTTCAATTATAGTTTACATTCAACATTATTTTGTATTAGTTTCACATGTACAGCATAGTGGTTAGACAATCATAATTTACAAAGTGGTTCCCCCCATATGTCAAGTACCCATCTGGCACAATACATGGTTATTACAATATTATTGACTATACTAGAGGCCTGATGCACAAAATTCATGCATAGGGTTGGGGGGTCCCTCAGCCCAGCCTGCAATGACAGAAGCATTCCACGCCCCACCTGGCCAAAGGCCCTCGGCAACTGGGTGCAGAATGCTTGCCTTGTTGCCGGGGCAACGACGCAAGCATTCCCCCCCAACCCCCGGCCAGCCACTTCGTGCCCACTGCCCAGAGGCCCTCTGCAGCCAGGGTTGAATGCTTGCCTCATCGCTGCGGCAATGAAGCAAGAATTCCGCCAGACCGCTCACGCTGCCTGCTCTCAGTGGCCGCCCACCCCGGGACTGGAGGACTCTGGCAGGGCTGAGAAGACTGGGTACTGCCATCTTGTGGCTATGGGTGCTGTCATCTTTTGTGGCAGAGTGGTGGTTAATTTGCATATTACCCTTTTATTAGATAGGATTCCCTGTGCTCTACTTTACATCCCATAACTATTCTGTAACTACTAATATGTACTTCTCAATCCCTTCACCTTTTCACCCAGTCTCTTAGCTTCTCTCCCCTCTGTTCTCTGTATCTATTAGTCTGTTTCTATTTTGTTTGTTTATTTCACTCATCTGATTCCACATATAAGTGAAATCAATGGTATTTGACTTTATCTGCCTGACTTATTTCACTTATCATAATACTCTCTATATCCATACATGCTGTCACAAATGGTAAGATTTCCTTCTTTTTTTATGGCCATGCAGTATTCCATTGTGTAGATGTACCACAGCTTTTTTTATCCACTCATATACTGATGGGCACTTAGGCTGTTTCCAGATCTTGGC